ATAAACGTAAAAGGTAGTAGCTATAACGATATCTACTGTATCATACTGAGTACTGGGTATAGCTTGGTACGATCTTGGATTTAAAAAATTAAACATGGTAATAATTTAAATTCATAAAATAATAAAGAATCCAAATTTACTTACTTTTTTAATAATTTTCCTGAAATTGGAACACATCTCTAATCTGAATTGAACTCGCGAAACAATATAATTAACAACAAGTGGTGCAGGCATTGCGCCTTAAGGCAAATTGCTGGTATGCACTTCCCCTACCGTAATTAAACATTCGAGGAATAAAGATAATCAGTAATCAATAAAAATTTATTACTGGTTTATAAAAACTGTTTTAAATATTTTCAAATAGATTATTGTAAATACTGTAACTTTCAATATTTCTATTTTATACTATAGAATAACTCAATAGAAATAATGAAAGTTACAGTATTTATAGCAATCTATTTGAAAATATTTAAGTTTATAAAATATTTAAGCTTACAAAATACAAAAACTTATAAATTAGACGAATTAGTTTACATAGATTTACAAGAATTCAAGGAAGTATGTATAAGTAGAGGTGAATGTATATGAGTGTTTAAGAGCTAATAATATATAAATCCCATTTTGAGATTGTTATAAAGATGTAAAGTTCTTTACTTCTTTATAACAATCATCGATTATTAAGATTGCTGTGATTTCTCATACCACAATATGTTCTCCTCTGACTGAGATATAGTATGTATAAATTATATCTAATAATAATAAAATAAAATAAAAAGTCTTACAGAAATGTCTAACAGAAAAATAATATAAAACTGAAGTGCAGAGATAAAATTATTTATTTCAATAAGTGAGCTTTAGAACTTTCGAAATTTAAAACTTTGTATATTTTTTTGAATACTAGAGTCAGTGCATAAATCATTTGCACATCTCCGAAATGGCAAGACCTGGCTTTGCCAAAAACTAATCAGCACGTCTTCTCATCAATACGAATCGAATGTTTTTTGAGTCATTCAAATCGGCTCTCGAAGTCGTGTACGAAAAATTATATCTAAACATACACACATACGTACTACACACACAGGCACATACATCTATTCTTTCTAAGCTATGCCAAAATATTCAAAAGGATTTGAAAGGTAAAGATATGCAAAAATTCTCATTTCAGATTTTAATGCAAAAAAATGTTCTTAAACCTTATTAATAAACATGCGAAATCTGTAAAATTCCATTGCTTTTGGGAATGCTTGTGAATTTTTCAATGATTTCTGAATTCGCAAAAAATATTACATAGCTTTTTGCAATTCCATTTTTTTCTAAGTTAAATTAATATTTTCTGTTAGTGCCTATTTAAATACAGAATATATCTTCAGAAATGAAACATTTCTCATATAGTGGACAAACACTAATAAACATAATCATATGTTTTGTAATTGATACGAGAAGCAGATTTTGGCTTTCAGATTTATAAATATTATAAAACCTATTGTAAACTACGAAAAAATATTTAAGTTGTAAAATTTCTATTTGATATGCTAGTATCACGACGTTTGCAAATTCATGCATTCTTTGTACGGTTTGATTGTATACTTCATAGATAGTTAAGCAACGCCAACGTTTTTGCTGCCACCGGTATGAGGACATTCTCCTGACTTGTGCGCATATACTACTCCTAACGAGGAGGTGTATACATATATATATAGAATCAGTGATTTCATTCAACGCCGAATTGAATTATCTTATTTACAAATGATGTCAATATTATAATTTAATACACTTCGTATATTTTGCATAAAACAAAATATTGATTAACACTTTGAATGAAATCACTGCTTAGAGATCGTTCAAGTATTACGTAAGCAGATCTATCATTTACAATTATTTACCCCCCCCACCCCCCTTGTCAGCAAAAGTAAGCAAAGCTCTTACCCCCTACCCCCATGCTTACGTAAACATTTTGCAATTAATGTAAAAAAATAAAAATACTATCTATGACGTAATCATCATCCAGGCTCCCTGCCCCCCATGTCAACCCAAAATGAGCAAATCAACAACCCCCCCGCCCCCCTATAGTGCTTACGTAACACTTGAACGGCCCCTTATGCGCTCTTACTATATGAATTTTCACTTCAACCAGGGCTTTCAATAACGATTATCAAACTATTTATCATATGATGATTTGACTTGTAAATTTTCGATGTAATGAAATAATAAATAAATACGAATGATTGATAGGAAGATATACAATATAAGAAATTATAACGCATCGATTGTATTTGTATATTTTGTTTAAAAATCATTGATAACGAATTAGATATGAGGACAATGCACGTGGACGACTAATAATAATTTTTATAAACGGGTTCCATTCATTAGGTCGTATATAATATTTAAAAAAACGCTTTATCTTGCCCACATACTCGGCTGAGCCGTGTCGGCAATACACATACGCAGTGCGAAACTTGTGTATGTGTATTGCGTAAGTTCGATTTTTAACAAAATACCGGTAATCCCAAAATACCGGTATTGAATACCGGACAAAAATCGTCCGGGATCCCGGTATTTGGGATTACGGTATCCCGGTATTGTAAGCCCTAATTTCAATCTTCAGCATCACAAGTATTAAGAAGAGATTTAGCATTGAAAACAAAACTCTTATTGAAACTCGATTGAAAAAATAATGTCTTTCACTTTATGCTAAAAGTGATCAATAATATTTTAGAAAGAAAATGAAGAATAAATACAGAGAATATAAGTTTAATTAATTCACTGGCCGCTGATCATAGAAGAAAATGTTTGCGATTCAAATTGTGTTCAGAGAGGTAAAATAAAGAGAACATAATGTTGACCGCGACACAGAAAAAAAATCATACGAGCTCAGAAAAAAAATCAATGTGTTAATCAATATTTTCCGCAGTGCGATATTTAATTTTTTTTTAAATTTTCTGTTATCGTACATTGAGGTCATATTTTCGAATAAAGAAACATGCTTCATACACATATAATCTTACCAATTAATATCTCGAAATTGGTTTTAGTTTTCGTCAAAGAAATTCGATTTCGTCCGAGACCAAAATCAGAAAAAATATGTGCATGTATGCGAGCCAACATTTGATATTTCATCTATATTTTCGCACCGCCTTCAAAAACCATTCGATGAAACTCGATTAAAATTCACATTTTCTAGTTAGGTGCAAGGATCGCCGAAGCCGTTTGTTTAGAACTAGCATAAAATACCCTCATCGAAAAGACATCACCCGACAGTCATAGTGATTCTTTAAAGATCACCTTTGTAATTAATTGTTGATTTTTTATGTTACAATAAATTTTTTATGATGGTCATAAAAAACATTCAAAAATATGATAGGTCCGCAAAGTAAAGCATAGTAACAACGTAAAGTCGTTAATTTATAAAAACATCCAGTAACATTCTAAACTTTTAATAACACAATAAGAGATATAAGTTTGGTTGAAAGATTAAAATTGGAAAATTGGAAACCTCATTGATTAGCTTTTACTGAAAATGAGACCCATATTCTTGTATAAACAGTTGTATTTTTTATCTAAATAACTAAATGTTAATTCTTATTCATTCAGTCGTTTTTTGCGCGTATCGGAAAGAAGCTCACGCCTAGTTTAATCACGAATCGAGAAACGTGATTGATTTTCCAATATTCTCTACGCAAATCGTGGATCATATAAATTTCTAAATTCGATGATATTTTTATTTTTGATTAAATAGCAGTTTCAAAGCGCTCTTCTTCATTAATATCAATCGATCTTGCGAAATAGATGGGTGATAGATAGCACTTTATACTTATTCTGCTGTTCTTTTCGAAGAGTAACGTTCTCTGTATTAAGTTTTTAGTGGAAAATGTATTACTCATTGTTATAGTACCACCGAATTCTATTTGTAATGGTTTAATTGCTATCGAATGGTTAAATTACTTCTACAGCTCAAAAATTATAGCAAATTAAAACTTGAACATGGAGCGATTTTAATAGTTTATTAATTATTTAAAGTTTTTAAAGATATTCACTGAAAAGTATGGGAATTTAATTGAAACTTTGTTTAATTTTGTTTTATTGGTTTAGATAAATAAACCATTTATTTATTCAGTATTGATTATACTGTGAACATTTGCTAAACTATACATATTTAACATCAACATTATATTAATTAGCTTTAGCTCCTTTAAGATAGGAATGTTAACTTTATTCATTTGTACACATATACACTCTGGATATATTCAATCGTCATATATATATATATATATATATATACATACACACATATATATTTTAAGAAAGTAAAAAGTTACGAGACTTCACGCTATATGTTTTTAATAAGCCATATTTCTTAATTTATTACTTAAGTCATAATACATGCCAATTTGAAGGCTTTAACAGTAATATTAGAAACATCTAGCAATGCCAATTTCATAGAAGATTGTGAAAATGGTTATATTTAAATACAATGCTGAGAATCTGTAAGTCTTAAAAATAAAAGAACTAAGTGTTAACAAGAAATTCTAGAAGAAAGCAAAATTGTAAAATTTCAGATTGTAAATAGTTTCAAGCCATTTTATAAGTATGACTCTATTTTAGCACTGAACTTGCTGAATAGATTTTTATATAGACTCAATAGAAAATATATTGGATTATTGACTCATATAAGATGCTCACTCATTTCCATGTGTGACTAGAATTAACAAGAAATTCATATACAGGCATATAAAAAAAATATAAATAAGAATAAACTTCATTAAAAAATAGCATTAAATTTATCATTTACTTAAGTTTAGATCCATTTTTAAAGTAAATATTTCATATTACTTTTATCTATACTAAGAATGTTTAAAAAACACAAATAAAACATAACAATTTGATAAATTATTAAAATCATCAACAAACACTTTGTATTTAGTGCAAAGCAATATAATTTGCTCTAAAAGATGCATGAATTTGTATTCAAAAGGATCATATATTAATAAAAAGCAGGCCTCGATCTTGATAAAATTATATACATAAATGCTTGTGCATACAGATATTCATATTCATGTTGAAATTTATTGCTTTGAAAAATAATCAAAGTGTATCATATCATTCTAAGTCAACAAACCAGAATATAATAAAATTATCTGGATTTTAATTTTCTCAAAATAGAGTGACTAACCTGCAAGTTCAATTCAAGATCAATAACCTTAAAAAAAATTTAACGTAAGCCTTCTTCATCTTCAGAGTCATTTGAAGGAGATTCAGCAATTGGTTTTTCAACAGACTCCTGCAATAAAATAATTATAAACAATTTTACAATCAGATATAATGTGCAAAATTGCTGTAAATTTGAGATGATCTTGTTCACTGAATCTAAGCTAATCAATATGTACCTAATATAACACAATCAAACAAAAAGATCTAGAAAAATATTAAATTTAAACACCAAATTTCAAATTAAAAGCATAAACAAGACAAGCTAAAAGTAAATAAGGTGGAATAATATTAATAAAAGATTACGAATTGACTTTTAGATAGATAGAAATTGTTTTTAAAAATAAGACACATATTGAACTACCTGAACTTCTTCTTCATTATTTTTTGATTTGGGAGACACGTAAGAAGCAGCAGCATTTTCTACAACTCCTGTATTCGGAGCACGTTCTATTGAAACACCTTTGGGTAAAGGCAAAATCTTAGAAAGCCGTGCATATTCAACATCCATATGCCGAATAAATGGATCTCTCAATGCACTGGCTGCAGCATCTGGATCTTCATCATCATATGCCTGAAAAAAAAAACATGACTGGAATTAGGTTGGAAATTATCCAAAATATTAAAGTGCAGTTATTGTTAAAGTAAACTTAAAGTATTTAAGTATTCCAGTTACAATAACATCATACAATGCTTATTAAGCATAATGCATATTGAGTAAAATTGATTCTTAAACAGAAGTTAATTGTTAGTTTTACTCTCTAACAATTTTTTGCTGTTTACTGACATCTGAACAACTTATATAAGCATATATATAAATCATTTATTAACTAACCTGAAGTAATCTTTCCAACGTTTGAACTTCACTTGCATCACAACAATTTCCCCATTCTTTAAATGCTTTTTCAGCTGCAACACAATCTTCTCGAGCTAACTGCACAAGAACAAGAGCCACTGTTAATCTTCCCATAGATTGGTAACTTTCAGATTGCTGATAAATCCCCATGACTCTGCGCAAAGCATCCGCAGCTTGATCATACCTATGTAACAAATATAATAGATAATCTCAGTCCATAAAAGATAAACACCGAATATGACCAATAGGTAAACATTAATAGATTTACAAATGAAATAATGACTACAATAGAATTTTAATTAAATTAAAAAAATATATAAATATTTGCTTAAATTAGGATTTGCTATATTAATATAGTATCAGAGTATTATAAAACATGCATCATACTTCCATATGAATCAAATATATTATTTTTGATTTACACACTTACATTTGTAACTTAACCATAAGTCTTGCAGTTTTGTTTAAAAGTTCTGCAGCTTGCCTTTGACTGTCTTCAATCTAAAAAAAGGACTTTTATATCTATAGCCTAAATTTGATTTATATTTTTGTAGATAGTTTACATAATAAACAAGACTACAAATTACATGATTTTAACAATAGTATCAATTGTGAAATTCTTAACTTAAAATGAAATACTATCGACCATACTATTAGAAGCCATAACAGATTAATATAATTATAGTTAAGAATAAAAATAAACAAGATCAGATAATTACCAAATTAACTTCTGCAGCCTTTTGATATAAATAGATGGCATCTTGCGGACACTCTTGTTCCAATATTTTTCCTGCCTTTTCTAAAACGGTGGCTCCTGCATCTGGTGACCCATGTTGCTGATACAAATGACAAGCTTTATCGGCTAATTCTTTAACTTCAGAATAGCTTTTAGTTTCATTACATATTAAGATTGCTTGATCATAACATTTTGCAGCATGAAACCATGAATGTTGTTGCTTGTGGCAGTCAGCAGATTTTTTAAAAGCATCTTTACATTGATCAAATGCTTTGGCATTACGGAAACATATAGCTGAAAATATATATTAGCATCAAGCAACTTGAGTATTATAAAAATACGTGGCTGAGATAATTTATAAACACAAATTTTCGCAAACTGTAAATTAGTCTTTGGAATAAGTTTCATTAAGCAAAGTAATAAATATTTTTTATGCCAATAATTATAGTTTTCTTCTGTTTTGTTTTTGAATATCTGCATCAGTTTTACGCATTATTCAAGATTTTAAAAGACATTTTGCATCAGCTCATAATTAATAATAATAATTTTACACCCATTGTAGTATTGTTTACAAACACTGTAGTAATTTTACACCCATTGTAGTATTTTTACAAACATTGTAGTAATTTTACACCCATTGAAGTATTTTTACAAACATTGTAGTAATTTTACACCCATTGTAGTATTGTTTACAAACATTGTAGTAATTTTACACCCATTGTAGTAATTTTACACCCATTGTAGTATTTTTACAAGCATTGTAGTAATTTTACACCCATTGTAGTATTGTTTACAAACATTGTAGTAATTTTACACCCATTGTAGTATTGTTTACAAACATTGTAGTAATTTTACACCCATTGTAGTATTTATACACCCATTGAAGTATTTTTACAAGCATTGTAGTAATTTTACACCCATTGTAGTATTGTTTACAAACATTGTAGTAATTTAACACGCATTGTAGTATTGTTTACAAACATTGTAGTAATTTTACACCCATTGTAGTATTTTTACACCCATTGTAGTATTTTTACAAGCATTGTAGTAATTTTACACCCATTGTAGTATTGTTTACAAACATTGTAGTAATTTTACACCCATTGTAGTATTGTTTACAAACATTGTAGTAATTTTACACCCATTGTAGTATTGTTTACAAACATTGTAGTAATTTTACACCCACTGTAGTATTTTTACACCCATTGTAGTATTTTTACAAGCATTGTAGTAATTTTACACCCATTGTAGTATTTTTACACCCATTGTAGTATTTTTACAAGCATTGTAGTAATTTTACACCCATTGTAGTATTTTTACACACATTGAAGTATTTTTACAAGCATTGTAGTAATTTTACACCCATTGAAGTATTTTTACAAGCATTGTAGTAATTTTACACCCATTGTAGTATTGTTTACAAACATTGTAGTAATTTTACTTCCATTGTAGTATTTTTACACCCATTGTAGTATTTTTACAAGCATTGTAGTAATTTTACACCCATTGTAGTATTTTTACAAGCATTGTAGTAATTTTACACCCATTGTAGTATTTTTACACCCATTGTAGTATTTTTACAAGCATTGTAGTAATTTTACACCCATTGTAGTATTTTTACAAGCATTGTAGTAATTTTACACCCATTGTAGTATTTTTACACCCATTGTAGTATTTTTACAAACATTGTAGTAATTTTACACCCATTGTAGTATTGTTTACAAACATTGTAGTAATTTAACACCCATTGTAGTATTTTTACACCCATTGAAGTATTTTTACAAGCATTGTAGTAATTTTACACCCATTGTAGTATTTTTACAAGCATTGTAGTAATTTTACACCCATTGTAGTATTGTTTACAAACATTGTAGTAATTTTACACCCATTGTAGTATTGTTTACAAACATTGTAGTAATTTTACACCGATTGTAGTATTTTTACACCCATTGAAGTATTTTTACAAGCATTGTAGTAATTTTACACCCATTGTAGTATTGTTTACAAACATTGTAGTAATTTAACACGCATTGTAGTATTGTTTACAAACATTGTAGTAATTTTACACCCATTGTAGTATTTTTACACCCATTGTAGTATTTTTACAAGCATTGTAGTAATTTTACACCCATTGTAGTATTGTTTACAAACATTGTAGTAATTTTACACCCATTGTAGTATTGTTTACAAACATTGTAGTAATTTTACACCCACTGTAGTATTTTTACACCCATTGTAGTATTTTTACAAGCATTGTAGTAATTTTACACCCATTGTAGTATTTTTACAAGCATTGTAGTAATTTTACACCCATTGTAGTATTTTTACACCCATTGTAGTATTTTTACAAGCATTGTAGTAATTTTACACCCATTGTAGTATTTTTACACACATTGAAGTATTTTTACAAGCATTGTAGTAATTTTACACCCATTGAAGTATTGTTTACAAACATTGTAGTAATTTAACACGCATTGTAGTATTGTTTACAAACATTGTAGTAATTTTACACCCATTGTAGTATTTTTACACCCATTGTAGTATTTTTACAAGCATTGTAGTAATTTTACACCCATTGTAGTATTGTTTACAAACATTGTAGTAATTTTACACCCATTGTAGTATTGTTTACAAACATTGTAGTAATTTTACACCCATTGTAGTATTGTTTACAAACATTGTAGTAATTTTACACCCAATGTAGTATTTTTACACCCATTGTAGTATTTTTACAAGCATTGTAGTAATTTTACACCCATTGTAGTATTTTTACAAGCATTGTAGTAATTTTACACCCATTGTAGTATTTTTACACCCATTGTAGTATTTTTACAAGCATTGTAGTAATTTTACACCCATTGTAGTATTTTTACACACATTGAAGTATTTTTACAAGCATTGTAGTAATTTTACACCCATTGAAGTATTTTTACAAGCATTGTAGTAATTTTACACCCATTGTAGTATTGTTTACAAACATTGTAGTAATTTTACTTCCATTGTAGTATTTTTACACCCATTGTAGTATTTTTACAAGCATTGTAGTAATTTTACACCCATTGTAGTATTTTTACAAGCATTGTAGTAATTTTACACCCATTGTAGTATTTTTACACCCATTGTAGTATTTTTACAAGCATTGTAGTAATTTTACACCCATTGTAGTATTTTTACAAGCATTGTAGTAATTTTACACCCATTGTAGTATTTTTACACCCATTGTAGTATTTTTACAAACATTGTAGTAATTTTACACCCATTGTAGTATTGTTTACAAACATTGTAGTAATTTTACACCCATTGGACTTATGTACATCAAATTATCAGATATTTTATAGAGATTTTTATACTGTGTACATATTTTGTGTAATTTTTTTTTGGGTTCAGTATCAAGATTTTTCATTTCAGTATGGGAAGTTCTAGCAATTTGAATTAAGGCACGATGCAATGCACCCCAATAGTTAATAAAAATGTTTAAAATATAAATTTGGTTATAATTCTTCTCCCCCAGAACCTGGTTATATATTTCAGAATTCAGGTGGCACCCTGAATCATATTGGTAGAGTGGCTCGGCACACCACAGTTAAAAGCTTGCCGACCCCTGATCTAGACCACCCATACATTTTGTATGAAATGTACGCTTTTTGATATATGTAAACCAGTATTTTGTCTTTTTTCATGGTATTTTCTATTCAAACTGCGTTGTATATTTTCTTTGCTATGTGTTGTAACATGAATGTTAGTATTTTCACCACGAGAGTTTGTTGAAAACCTACCAAACTTATTGGTAATCGCAAACACTGAAAATCAGATAAGTAATGCACACATTATCAACAATTTTTCTACCCGTACTGCGTTCAAAAATTTTTTTTTGGCAAGCCTATAGTGAAATTATATTTTCACTTTGAGTTTTACCGCTCATTTCAAAGGCGACGCACCTCACTTCGTTTTCATTTGAATTTCACATTCATTTCAAAGGCGCGGAAAAAGAATAAATATTGTTTTTCATTGATATAAAACAGAAAAATTAACAAAAAAGCAACGATTCTTTTATATTTCTTGATTTTTTTTATATAATATAATATGTAATATTTTTATTATAAGCAAGCTCAACACATGCAAAAGACGGTAAGAAAAAAGAATCAAAACTATAAATATTTACTGCTAATAATCGTTAACATATAAGACACCAAAAACTCATTTAACCCATATAAATGCTTGTAAAATGAATGGTGGTCCAGCCAGACCTTTCCGACCGTTCGAAGGTGAAAAAATATCCAACCGACGGAGGGTTAAATGTAGTTCTACAATAAATATTAATACCTGCTTTAGAATATTCATCCGCAGCCGATTCGTAATCAGGTTTCCATTTCAAAAGAGAAGTCTTTAAACTAAAATCAGAATGATAATTAGAAAATATATGAATAATCGATTTGTTGAATTATGAATATGCACCATTTTTCAGCTTGTCTTATATGTTCGTAAGCTTCTTCACATTTTTTATTTAAAGACATATTTTTACAAGATTACGAACAATTTGCAATACTGATTTGTTGTAATGTTAATTTGCATAACTGGCATATATGAACAATATTTTGTCTTTTCTAATTATTCACTAGTTTGAAGATTGACATCATTATTATATTTTCTGGATTGACATTTCCCACCACAGAGATGTTAGAGCGATGCGCTTTTGAGATCTCCTCGCGCCATCTGACGAGGGGTTACCATGTTAAAAACAGAGTTTTTTTTATTTAAGTTCTCTGGCGCACGATACATTTTCTTTTTCGGCAACCGGAAGTAGTATGAAAATTTAAAATGTTCAAACGGTATAATCATAGATAAAAGAAGAGTATATTTGGTTATATTTATCTTCATATAACTGTAACATAACTATATATGGTTCATATAACTATATATGGTTATATTTATCTTTATATAACTATATATGGTTATTTTCATAGATAAACAAGTATAAATGGTTATATTTATCTTAAAGTAGAAAGATGATTCAATTTAATTACATAAAAATTATAAACTGAAAAGCTATTTTGAGAACGAATTACTAAAATGAATGAATATAATTTCAATTTTGAATTTAAACTAAAATTATGAATTTTATTAACTTCCCGAAGGAGAAGTTTATGCTTTCATCAAAAAATCCGATTCTCTAATTTTATGTTTTCTCGACGTTTCAAGCCAATCTGAATCGAATGAGACCAAATTTGGAAAAAAGTATGTGCGTGTGCGTGTGCGTGTGCGTGTGAACAGATTTTTTGCCGTAAATCGACGTTTTCTCGAAAACGGCCGGGCCGATTTTAAAAATTTAAAAGCCATTCGATGTATCTCGACGAGAACTATTGTTTGTCAGTTTTGTGCGACGATCGGCCAAGCCGTTTCTTTATAAATCGCAGAAAAGTGAAAAAAATTTCGTCTACGTTTTAGCCCGCAATTCTGAATCGATTTTGAAAATTTAAAAACCGTTCGAAAGATATTGGTTGGGAATCGTGCTGATTAGTTTTTGGTAGAGATCGACCGGGCCGTTTTCTTATAATAAAGTTTTTTAAAAAAAAAATTCGACGATTTTTATGATTATTTTTTTGACGGTAGGTACCATAGTCTTCTAGATCATACTAAAATATTACGGCCCTACGACAACTGGTTCAGCTTTAAAAATTCGTCAAAGTTTGCAAAAATTGGTATCATTTTTTGGCATTTGCCAAAATTAGACTTTTGATCGACGTTTTCTCAAAAACGCCTGAACCGATTTTAAAAATTTAAAAGCCATTTGATGTGTTTTGGTGAGGACTTTCGTTTGTCAGTTTTGTGCGACGATCTGAAACTTTTCGTCCACATTTAAGCTCATTCTACTGAACCGATTTTGAAAAATCAAAAACTGTTCGGAAGATATTAGTTGGGAATGGTACTGATTAATTTTCGGTAAAAATCTACCGAGCCGTTTTCTTGTAATGAACTGTTGAAAAAAAAATTTAAGCCGATTTTCATGGAACTTTTTTTGGCGATATACATCATGGTCTTATAGAACTTACTGTAATATTACGGCCTTACGACAAGTAGTTTAATTTTAAAAAATCGTCAAAATTTGCTAAAATTATTCTCGTTTTTTTTTTTTAAGTAGGATTGATGAAGTATATTATTTACACACTTTTTTTTGATTAAGTCGATTATTTACACATATCGGGAAGTTCATGTAAGTTGCCTCAAGGCTAAATACCAAACCAACTAGTTTATTTTGAATTTATATATAGAAAAAACTTTTTTAAAAAATTGTTTAAAAAAATACATTAGTTTATGAAAATACCTAAAATAATAATAATTAAATGCTATAAATATAACATATAACAATTTTAAAAATCTAGGAGCTAAGAAACATACATCTGTTTAAAAAAAATATATAAAATAATAATAATTAAATACAATAAAAATAACAGATCACAGTTTAAAAGAACTAGGTGCTGATAAAAATAAAAAACCCGGAGGTTTATTACTCGCTGACTTTCCTTTTGGGCTTGAACCTGTAATTGATCAAAAATATTTTGTATTATGGCTTATGACATAAAATTCTAATATTATTCAATTATAATTATCTAATTAAAATTAACATACTGCTTTGAGATGCTGATCCTCTTCCTCTTCCTCTTCCTTTTCCTCTACCTCTAGATGGTTGACTCCGCTTAGAACCTCTTTTGAAACTGCACAATTATGTACAAAAATTAAAAACAGTCTACTAAACTTGATAACAATTGAATAAATATATAATAAATGAATAAATAATAAGAAAACAACCATATAATTTTATTCATTTTAATATGAAAATGATAAATAATAACATTTTAATTTGAAATTAAACTGCTATTCAAAAAAAACTTAAATATATTCTATAGTACAAAATAAGTTGTTGAAAATATAATAATATTAATAATAATATTATAGCTAATACTTTTTTTTAATAAATAATCTCATAATAAATTCACTTTATACCGTTTATTTGTTGAGAAACTTCCACTGGACTTTCGTTTGCCTCTCCAATTATTAGTAAATGGTTTTGATGTACTATTTGATGATGATGCCCAGTGATCACTATCATCTGAATTTTCTTCCAATATGTCTTCTCCTTGTGCATTTTCCTGTGCATCTTCCATATCCAGAATCATGCCTGTTAATATGAAACAAGTAAGTTATCTCAGCATATTTTTAAGTTTCTGCAATGCATGCATAGAGGTAATAAAATATTCACAAAAATTTCAGTAAATATTCAAAAATCCTTATAAATTCACTCTATTTATAAAATGAAAGATATTCTCCATTACATAAATCTTTTTTTTTTCAATAAAATAACATATAAAAACTTACACAATTTTTCTGCAGTGTATTTGAGTGTAACCTCCAGAAATCTTTGGCCAAATTTATCAAAATTGGCACGAGTTACATGTGGTATGTTCATCATATCTGCTTCAGTTTCTGGTAAGCGCTCTGACATAATTTTAAGAGCTTGCATATTAATAACTGATGCCATTGTAATGTTTTTCTCAGAGGCAATTGTTCTGTAGGATATAAAATTTATATTAATTTGTGTAGACTATATGATTAAACAGAATCAAAGTCAGAATAAGTATTTTTTTGAGATGCAATAGTTGAATGTTTGCACAACATACAATATGCATATACATTTAACGCAAATAAATTCTGAACTATATAATATGAATTTTTTTCTGCATTTAAATTCATTTCAACACCTGCTCATAATAAAAGTATATATTATAACACATTACCTGCATACATCTAATAGATCAGAATAACATCTATCAGATAAATTTTTCAACTTGATTTCGCTTTCAGTGGTGGCTTGGCTTGTAGAAACTTTAGCAACGCTGGCAGACTTTTTCTGTTGACACTTTATGGATAACTGAATTTCTATCCCAGTTCTTAATCTATGAATTAATGTAACTAATCAAAAGTAGGAAAACTAGATCCATAAAATAATAGAAAACATTTTCTTCAAAATATAATCATAACAGAATAAATTCCCGTCATATAGTTATCAAAGCTCTATTTACAAAGTTACATTTTGAAATCGAAATAAATTATATTTTCTTAATATCTTTAGGAGAAACAGCTTATCCAAAAATGAGCTTAACGATGTGAGCTAAGCTCTCAAATAGTAATTTATGTTTTCTTTTTAATCTGTTATGAATGCATATGAAATATTAATGAACAATATTCAACAAGCTTGTACTCACTGATCTGCCTTCGGTCCTAATTTTATATAAACATTGGGAATGTCATTATAAAATATGATTTCTTCAGAGAGATATTCTTCAATGACCATTTTATGGAATAATCTCAATATATCTGCCCGTGCCCAACTGCTTCCACGACCATATAAAGCGCACTTATCATGTTTGAAGTCAAGTATTTTTTTATTGCTAGAACCCTTAAAAATTTCACCTGTAATCGAATAATTATGATTGAATTATGTTATTGTTATGCACTTTTAGTTGAATTATAATCAACTGGTTATTCCAAATAAAAAATTGTAGTACTTACTCATATGCAGAAGGGTAAATCTGGATTTTCCTGAACATAGGTTTCTTACTGCTTTTACTACTTCTATGCAGTCTTCGGTTACATTGATTACCTGGTTTAAATTAATAAAGCTCAATAAAACTCAATAAAACTTACATGCTTTTTTTACTCTAGATACATGTGAATTTAATTTGAATAGCTCTTATATTATTCATTCAGTGTTAAAGTGATAATGTTTTGCAAAATAATAATTCAAGTATTTACCTTATATTGCCCTCGAGATTCACAATTATCACAAACAGTTAAAGTGGAAGCTGCACATTCTTTTGCATCAAAGATCTGGAATAAATAGAAATGCTGTGTAACTTAATAATGCTATTCAATATCATTTCAAGTTGAAAAATTACAAATAAAAAAAAGTAATAACTTCTAATGTAATTCTGAAACATTTTGAGAAAATGTTTTCTCTAGCATTTCTAACAGCCCAGAGGCAGCCCAAAATTACAATCTTAACCATTTCTAAAAGTAACAAAATGTTTAGGGACTTACTTCTGCAAAATATTCAAGTTGTTGAGCTCTTCTACAATCTGTCATGTTTTCACAGTAGCCCACCATGCGCTTAAGATTGTTTAAGTGAATTTGTTTAGTTTCAAAGGTTTGACTGGAGTCTTCTTCAAATATATTAAAATTTATCATAAGTTAGAAATCATACTAAATATTTTGAAACATTTTATCATTTCAGCTCAATATTTAGTAAAGCTAAAAAATGCTTAACATGTAGTTAAAGAAATTCTAAATATTAAAATAATAGTATTGCAAAATTCAAATATATAAATAAATATACATGCCACAGTTTTAATTAGAACTTACTATCCATCATTTTTCGATATCTTTGCATATCAGAGTAATTATAATACAAAATGCAAGTAGCAACCTCTCCATCTCTTCCAGCTCGTCCAGACTCCTGGTAATAACCTTCAATAGATTTAGGTAATGATGCGTGAATAACAAATCGTACATCTGGTTTATCTATGCCCATTCCAAAAGCAATGGTAGCACAAATCTAAAAAATTCAATTAAAACCTATTTTTATATAAAAGCAAAATATATATAAGAAAGGGCTTAGTAATAAGTGTAACTATTTAGATTTTTATGTAATAAAAATGATCATTTTCAATAAACTGAAACATTTTATTACTAAGGAAGTATGGTAGAAGTAGGTTTCAAATAATATTCATCACATTGTTTCACAAAATTATATGTTATTTAATGACTGTTTGTCTATTGATACTTTTTTTTCTTTTCATCACTAAATGTTAATATTATTGATTATTAAACAAGAAATGACAAAACAGTAAGAAACAATTGTCTTAAATCTGCCTATATTTTAAGCAGTATTTTGTTTTACAGAGCCACAATGCTAAACTTTATATATAAAAAAAATCTATGATATTAATATATAAAAAAGAATTTACTTACAACATTAAATTTGTTAGTGAGCCATGATTTTTGTACAGATTCTCTTAATTTGTCAGTCATGCCAGCATGATAACTTGCTGCTTTAATACCTGTTGCTGATAATTTTTTAGCCATATCATCACAATCGTTTCTTGATAAACAATATACAATTCCAGATGCACTGAAAAAATGAGTAATATTATATTGGTTTATAATAAAATTTATATGGATAGATAAATACATAAATATATGCAATGGAATTACTACCTTCACAATACTTAATAATAACTTACCAACTTACTAAATTTTATTTATGTGGTTTGCTGTAATATCAGAACATTTATTTTACAATAGTGCGAAGCAATAGAGTTTTTTAAAAAAACATTCATACAAATTTGTATAAACATAACGCCTAATCTTTAAACCTAACTATAATATATATATATATATATATATATATATACAAATATATATATATATATATATATATATATATATATACTATACTCACTTCCTGTATTTGGATTTGATCAAAGTTTCAATGTCTTTTATCATCGTTGGTCCACTTTTCTTTGGAGTAACTATATATTTCAAGTTAGGACGATTAAATGAGCATAAAAACCATCGACAATCCCTTAATTTTAATTGATTTACTACATCTTGACGTACCCTTGGTGTTGCTGTGGCAGTTAAAGCCATTGTAGGAGCCTAAATATTAATATTGCAATAAATGTTTAAAGCAATTAAGTAATAATAATGAATTTAGTTAAAACTAACCTTAGGATATTTTGTCCTCAGTAAAGATAGTTTTTTGTAATCAGGTCTGTAAAATAAAAATGCAAATCAGTCAAATAAATAATATTGTAAACCATACAAAATTCTGTTCACATTCATATTTAATTAATACAATAACTAACATTTTATAAAATTTAAATATAAAGGCATCAGTAATATTTCATATTTAAGTAACAGTATCATCACAAATCTAATGATGTCTTGATATTCAAGTTCAATGAAAAAAAAAACTATGCAGTTTTATTGTAAAATAAATATACCTAAAATCGTGGCCCCACTGTGACACGCAATGAGCTTCATCAATAACAAATTTTGCCAACAATCCACGCTGATACAGAGATTGTAATGCATCTTGCAATTTATTGGAAGATACTATTTTTTCTGGAGTAATATATAGCAATTTAATTTTTGGATCTGAAGACTTCATGTCATCATAAATTCTATTACAATGTTCTATTGAAACATCACCAGACATATGATCAGCAGGTATCTATAAAAAGAGATATTATTTATATACTGCAAATTAATTGTAGTAATTTACTTAACACTCTTATTAAACCTAAAAAAGTTTCAATCATTCCACTACTTACATCCAGAGTATCCATCTTATTGACTTGATCCAATATCAAGGATTTTAATGGAGATATCACAACAGTAACACCTTGTTTCAACAAAGCTGGCAGCTGGTAGCATAAAGACTTTCCTCCGCCTTTAAAATAAAGATAAATATTCTTAGACGGAATAGATAAATAAGTTCACTAATTATAAAACTATGGAACAAAAATCATTTAAATAATACTTCAGAATTTATATTTTAATTATTGTATTTAACCATATACCTCAACCATATTTTAGTTATTCAGATAAGGATCAAATTACCTGTTGGCATTAAGACAAAGCAATCATGCCCTAACAAGACAGCGTTTATGACCTGCTTTTGATTTGTCCTGAATGATTTAAGACCAAATATTTCTTTAAAAGCAATCATCATTTCCTTAGTGTGATCATAATTGTTGTCAAATTCTCCTACAATAAAAATAAAATTAAATGAAATTTAAAAAAAAACATGCACTATCAGATATCAGTTTGTTAGTAGACATTGAATGCGCTTTTCATATTCATCATTTAAGAGTTAAATATTTAATATAAGAGCTTTTATTTCTAATTCCAAGAACTAATCTGCCTAATCTAATTATACATTTAGGCTATATATAATATTAGTATATACTCAGACAAATATAACATTATAGAATTTACCTGTGCAAGCATCGTTTCTTATTCCCTGTCTAAATTTACCTAACCCATTTTTTTGATCTTCATTGTTTCTTGAAATTTGGGCATTTGATTTATTTGAAAACTCTGTTATTTGTTTTGGTGAATTTTTTTTAGGTGAAAACTCTGTTATTTGTTTTGGTGAACTCTTTCTAGGTTTGCATTGATTTTCAAATTCAAAGTCCTTAGGATTGTATGTTTGCCATCCATCATCATCTAATTCTGCGTCAAAAACATTACCTAAAAATATGGTTTTACAAAATAAAACAAATAAAAAGAAAAGTTGCTACATGTACTTTTATCAAAATATGACGTTTGTGTTCCAAAAATAAATTTACCTATGATTTCAGTCTCATTTTCATCATATAAGTTAAAAACATCTTCAGATTTTGAATGGTTTTCTGTTTTTTTAGTTTCAATAATATTTGAAGAAGATTTGAATGTAAACTGTGATTTCTTTTCTGGAGCTTGCTCATAATTTAAATTATTTTCATTGGTGAATTGAGATCTAGTACTGCTATTTTTTTCTACTCCTGGAATATAAATAATAACATTATGCAAATATCAACAACATATAAATTTCACAAAATCTTGTGATTTGAGTTTGGGAATTCAAGTTTATCTAAAATTTCATGTAATTATAGGGTATTCTATAGTAAGTTTAGGTATTTACCTGAAGATACTAAGCTGTTACTTCTAAGCATGTTATAGTTTGTTTGTTTTTCTTCCTGTTCGTCAGTCTGTAAGATGTAAAACAAATTTATTCGAAGTCATAATTTAATTAAACTTAAAATATTAAATTACCTCAAATGGTTCATCAGTACTAGTAATTTCTGTTGTCGTTGTTCTGTTGATCTGTGTTTGATCAATATCATTTACCATATCATAAATAATTTTGGATCGAGATTTTATGGCAGGTGATTTAAATTTAAATACTTTATGATTTGATTTATCACTATTTTTATCACATGTAATTGAGGAACTATCCAAGCTATCATTAATTATGTTTTTGTTAATAATACTTTTTTCAACCATAAGATCAATGTTAGATGATTGTGATTTTAAACTGGCACTACATTCTAAATGTCCTTCCTTATTTTTTTCCTTATTACTGAGTGTATTCGAATTGCCTAAAAACTCCTTATCACATGTGGCGGATCTTTTATCTTGCTCTAAATTATTGATCTTACTTTGCAATAAATTTAATTCTAATTTGAGTTTATGTTTTAAAAGTTCTGCACTCTTAAAAAGATTTTCATTGAAGCCTGGTAATTCACACAGTACTTTAAATGGAACCTTGTCTAAAAATGATGCATAAAATTCCAGAATTTCGATATACATTTTTTTCAGATTATTCATGTTTCCCTCAAGCTCCGCTTTAGATTTCTAAAATATTTCAAGTGATTTTTAGGATATATCGACTATGTAATAAAAATAATCATAATTTAGACCTACTTGTGTACTGTCAAATATCTCAACAATATCTTTGATTTTTGACAGTAAAATATCTGATTCATCTGAACCTTCAATGTTTATACCAAGTTTATTATGAACTAAAGTTCTTAAATTATCTAGTGATTTGTCTTCTGTTTTTATAATGTCCTTTTTATTTGGCGAATTTGATATAATCTGAAGAGTTTGATCTCTATTTGCTGAATCATAAAAATCCATATTTAATATAGAATGATCGAGTTCATCTTTAGGAGATGTTTTCTTATTTTCTGGACTAATAGGCTAAAAAGAATAAATTATCAAAAATAGAAATAATACATATATACAATTTTTTAAACAAATTTAAATTTTAATTTATAAATTAAAATTTAATTTTTACCAAGATAACATAAATAATATCAATTATATAATGGCATTGAACCAAACCGATCCTTTACAATTTAAAAAAATGTAATTTTTATTATAATTAATATTTAATAATGAAACGAATATGAAGATCTGAATAAACTTATAAGAAAATATATGTAACATGTTCTGTCAAAACATGTACTTATAAAATATAAGCAATCCTTAATATTAAGCAATGTTTACAAAACCATAAGAACAATGATTCAAATATAATTATCTATTATTTTATTAATACAATTACTTTTTGTTGAAATAAAAATAAATATTTGGTTAATAATTTACTAAACTATGGGCTATTTTTCAATAAACATAATATGTTTTAAGTGTATTAAAATATTATATATGCTTTATATTTACCATAAACTTCTTTTCCCAACCGTCATCTTGATAAGAATTGTTTTTTGGGCTGTTTGAAGAATCAGTATCAGGTACAGTTATTTTACGCTCAGGTGAAAAATCAAAAAAATCATTTAACTTTTTCTGTTTTGATTTTTCTTTACATTCATCATTTTTTAAATCAAATGTTATATCTTCATCCGAAGATATATCAATTATGCTATTATATTTTGACATTTCTTATAACTGAATACTTAAATCGGTTTATAGTAACTAATAATATTTCACATTAATTATATTTAATAAACTAATATTAAGAACTTAACACTAGGCATGATTATATTGTGCAGAGGCTGAAGGCCTGTGTGAAATATTACATTGTCTAGTTGCTAAACACTAAAAAGCTTATAATTATATTGTCTTGGCTAAAAAGAGCGCTTAACATTTTGACAAACTTTATGACATGTGTTCAGGCAAAATAATGGTGCTGACCTCTAACAACAACCAAGACTTGAACGCAATAATTGCATTCATTCATAGATAGTCAAGTATAAAATTTAATTCAATAATTACCTGATTATGTAATTCAATAATAGCCAAACTGTTGTTTTTTAAAAACAAGAATGAAAACAGTAATTGTATGATGAAATCCCGCAATTAAGTTAAGCCATAACGTTCACTTATTTTATGCTTTGAAATCAAAACCGTTAAAAATATAAGAAACTAATAGCTCTTTCAATAAGCATAAAATTACTCTTCTTTTATCTATGTATAAAATCTTCTGAAATACACAGAAAAAATGAAGGAATATTGGAATTTTTTCGTTTTAGCTTATTTTTTTATGTGTATGTTACACATCACAATTTTATAACAACTGTAAAGTTAACTAATTTCTCATATATATATATATATATATATATATATATATATATATATATATATATTTAACTCTGTAAAATTCAAATTGAAGATGATTTTTAGCTTCTAATTTAAGATGCAGTACGTGGTAATGAAAATTTATTTATGTACAAGTATATGCAAAATTCTCATTAAATTGATTTATTACTCTATAATCATTGAATAACACATTATACATATAACTATTACTTAAAGAAACTGACTTTTTTATCCATATTATTACAATATGAAACTAAATTACTTAAACATTGAGAAATTCAAATTTAGTGTTCTCATCTTAGGACTAATTTTTTGATCTTAAGGATATGCACTATATATTGTCAATACTTTTAATGAAATACATAATTTTCTACTGATTTAAAAACAGGCAGAGATGTATATACAGCTGGTTTATATCCAACTTTTTTAATTGTTAAGATAAATTAAGATACAATAAAATAATTAATATAATAGTGCACAAACAATATTTGTTGAATTCAAACCAGTTTTAAAAAGCACATAATATATATTGAATAATATAGTTTATGTATATTAGTACATTATTTAGGATGGTGATACAGTAACTAAAAGTACTTTCTAGAAATAATTTTAAAACTCATTAGCATTATTAAGCATGTAAAATTCGATCGAGAAATGATTTTATATCATTCAGCTCGGTTTGATTAGAAGAATGCATAAGTCCCGGATAAGTATGGAATTCACAATTATTCATAAAGTTTCTCAAAACTTTATGAGATGCTTGACCCCATTTGTATGGAACAACAGGATCACAATCACCATGACACATAAAAATTGGAACGTCTGGTGAACACTTCAGGTTTGGATCAGGAAAGTTTCTGAACATAGGTAGCCAACATGATAATGCTACTATGCCACCCAGAGATTTGGTGCAACGTAAACCAGCATACAAAGCCAAACCTCCGCCCTGTGAAAATCCTCCTAGAACAATACGATTAGAAGGAATTCCTGATGCAACTTCCTTGTCTATTAAAGAGTGAATTTTTTCAGTGGATGCATTTAAACCCGTTTCATCTTCTGGTGTATTAGGATTCAATCCATGTAAGTCAAACCATGAAGGCATTTTAGCACCAGCATTTATTGTTACTGGAATAGTTGGAGCAGTAGGTAATATGACTTTGGTATGAGGAGGCTTAATTTCACTCATGGCTGCCGCCCAGCCATTACCAGTGTCGCCTAATCCATGAAGGAAAATCACAGTAGAAGTGTGATTTGTTGCCGCTGGCAAAACAAGTGGCGGTACTTTAAACATTTTATTATACAAAGATAGTGATAACTAGCTACAAATCAATCACAAGTATACCTGAAAACAAACATAAAAGTTAGTAAACATATAAATCATGTAATTTTATGTTACGCATGGACAATTACTACACTAAAGTCATATTTCAAAAATGATTGGTGCTAAGAAAAAATTTAATACTGCTTTACATTTTCATTTCTTCTTTACATTTTGAAAAAAGGTTTTATATGTTATTACCATAGATCTAAATGAACATTTTAAATGTAAATATAAAAATGTAATTTAAAATTTATTTAATAAAGCCAAATGTAGGTTTCTAATCATTAAAACATATACCTCATTCATTTAAAATAACAATCAAATATAAGTAACAAATAATCTCTTTTTCTCACAAGTATTCGACGTGGTGAGTAAATTTTATATCCAAGCTCTATTTGTAGACTTTGTATGTATTACGTCGGCCAATTCTGATCTTCTACTTTGATAAATAAATTATTATTTGTCACAAATCATCTAATCACTGTACTAATTACACAAACATGAAGTTGCGACATTCATTTTTAAAATA